AATTAATGGCTTTAAATGTATTTACAATGGCAAGTCAACCTGGACAAACTTTGTCACTCATTACTCAGGTCATGTAGAAAAAAAGCTGTCAAAAGCAGCGTCCTAGCAGAGAAAACACCATTTTTATGTGGCGCTCTTAATAAAGAACGGCGTGAAACATGGCGTTCTGGTGGGGTGAACGTAGGCCTGGGCCGATAATCAATAAATCAATTAATCGCACGATAAATTAAAATGAACTCGATAATTTTGCCGGCCTCGATATATCGCCATGTGCACGCGCGTTTGTTTTCCTCGCCTCTCGCCTCCAAGCAGGCTGGATGACAAGAGGGTTCACTCTGTGCTCGGTCTCAGCACCTGGGGGCGTTGGTTGCGGAATGAACGGAGTGAACCCTCCTGTCAGTCATCCAGCCTCTTTGTCACTGTGGGGGGAGGCGGGGCCGCTAGCATTAGCCACACATGCTACACGCACAGAGTGCAGCGAGTGAGCGTCGTGCGGAGCAACGCGAGGAGAAAAGATGATTGCAAAGTCAAAACGCCACAGCCCCGGTGTGGCAGCCAGTTCAAAAGTGGTGGCAACGACAAAAAGGCAACACAACAAAGTTGCATGTCCACCTGAAGCATCACCACCCAAAGTGCAGCTCGAGATGCGGAGCCTTCGTCCCGACAGTCAACACTCGCTGAGGCGTTCGGTCGACAAAGTCAATATAAACGGAACAGCGCAAAATGGTGTGCGCTCATTGAAAGTGAAGTTCGCTACATCGCTAAAGGTAAAAAACACTGAGAAATAAAAGTTTACTGTCTTTGAAAGGGTGTGTCAGTATCATGATATATTATCATGTTGACAGTAATATCGTTTATCGGCGATAATTCGCGTGACAATATATCGTCCAGCAAAATTTGTTATCGTCCCAGGCCTGGGTGAACGATGCTTTTTACGCTGCTATGTTAAGCGAGGGAAAGCGGTGTAAAACACAGCACCTTGTGTGCTCATTGGTGGCCTTTTTGCGCGTGCAGTGTGACACTTGCACACTTTCGGCAGGTTGACTAGCCACAGAAACGTTGGTGAGATCGTTTGTGAATCCAGCGACGTTAGTCTCAAAAAACCCACACACAAATGTAAAGCGATCCACACACACAAATGCATACTAAACCACACACAAATGCAGAAATATATCTGTGAAACTGTTTCTATTTGTGATTTGTTTTTAAAATTAATATACATTGATAACTATTTGTGTGTGGATTGGAATGTATTTGTGAATCCTTCTGTGCCTTTGTGAATATCGAGACTGATCTGACCCCATATTGTAGCCACACAGTCTGTGTGACAATGAGAGTCAGCAGCTAAATGACCTCACAGTGGGTTTATGAGGTGTTTGTTAGTGAAATGTAACACTTAACTGCAGTTAAACAAAACCACTGTGTACTTTGGTCTCAGTCCTCTCTGTTTCTCTGATCTATCTGTCCATTGTCTGACTCAGCACTCATAGCGGGGCTTCCTGTTTTTGTAAAGAGAAACATGTAATGACATCCCCAAACATCAACACTTATGATGAGTCTGTGAGGAAGGCTGTTGCAGAGTGAGCTAACAGATAAACACATTTAGTCAAATATTGGTTAGTTGTTGACATGTATTCACAAAGCATTTATCTTTTATCCCCAAATCCTAATACCACTGTCATGTCTGTTTGTAAAGTATGGTGCTAGAGCTGTTGAAACATGTAGCTTCCAAAGTTCACAAGTACTTACATTTCAGGAAGCTAACTAACACAACATATCTGCAGAGATTATAATGTAAAAATGTAAAATAGTGTGTTATATTTAGTCAGTTGATACAGGCAAGGCTGTTCATAGATCCTACAAATAGAATCCAACTCATGTGATTTCACAATTTCTGCTTCATTTTGTCAGAGCTATGTAGCTGTGCATATGTCTACACACTCAAACATTAGATTGTTTGATTCATGCTACACACAGCCACACAGAAAATAGAGCCATGTGGCAGATCCAGGGGCAGGAGAGGATTCAAGTGCTGCCCCACTCATATTCAGATTTAGACGGCTAAAACAGAACATGACGTCATCGGGGGGAAATTCGACATATTCAACTGTGGGTAATACCCTTCTGCTTTCCACCGGCACACCAGTCAGGTTAATTAACTATACACAATAGATATGTAGTAATAACATAGCTATACTCATAACTGTTCACATACCGCCTGCATACACTGTCCTTCTGAAGTGGAGGACTTGTTGAAATGTGAGAAGTTTCAGTATGACACACACACACACACACACACACACACACACACACACACACACACACACACACTCACGCACACACACACAGACAAAGACAGAGACCCATTCAGAGTTATTTCCTCGAGTCCCTCTTTTAAAGTACGCAGCTGAACTTACCAGCTCGCTGCTTCTGGATCTCCACGGTTTGTTTGTTTCTGACACCACCTCCTCTTTTGTGAAACCTGAAGCTGGCTCGGCCATAGGTTTCCTGTGGGAGGGATTTGAGTCGAACTGCAGTCTGCAGTCGAGGCTGTGCTGGATCCCTGTCAACAGCTCACAAATATTGACTTGTTTCTTGTTATATCTGTGTCTAAAACAGCTGTGATGGGTAGGTAACTCTTGATCATTTAGTGAATTAGGAGTTACGATAGCACGATTGCAGCTACATACCTAATATGTAGTGTGACAACAGATTAGTCTGACTCATCATTGCTCTCGGTACTCAGTCAGGATGGCCGAGCGGTCTAAGGCGCTGCGTTCAGGTCGCAGTCTCCTCTGGAGGCGTGGGTTCGAATCCCACTTCTGACATTGTCCTTTTTGTTTGTTCCTGACTCATACCAGGAGCGGTACGTGTTCGTTTACAGGTGATATCATTGACTGGCTACTTTGCTGCCCGATCAGAGTGTTTAAGTACAGCCTGTAATGTCGATGTTGTACTCTGTCTTTATGCCGATGTGTGCAGGACTGATACAGTGAGTCTCACTGGCCAGTATCAGTATCCCGATGATCGACCAGGAGATGTTGATGCTTTTTCCAGAGAACCTTTTGTTGTCCGTTTCAAAGCCCCCAAGACAGGTCAGTTATCAAACACTCATTTTTCATGTCAAAAATAAAACACATGGTGATGATTCTGAATATAAACACCTGTATCCTGCCTCTCTTATCTACATATTCAGCTATAAAGGAGTTTGTCCTCATACCTCAGCACACCACTCCAGTCAACACCACTAAGGAGCTCGATGCACTGTATGATTGGCTGTGAAATGTGACAGCATTATGTCACAGTGGACCAAGTGGACCTCTGAACATGGTGCCTGTTCACTTCCTACATAGATCTGGAGCCAATTAAAGAGTCAAAACAACTCTTTACCCCATATTACATAATGAGGTTACAGATAATTCCAAAACCTTATTAAAAAAGAGGAGTGGTTTGAAGATAATCTGTTATAAAGTTATAAACCTTTAATCACACTGATATACAGAGTACATGCAGACTGGAGATGGTTTCTGGTAACTGTCTTTATTTCTTTAACATCCTCAAATTATTACTTCTGGTGCAATGTCCCACAACCAGAATCAGCTTTATTGGCCATGTAGGCATATACATACAAGGAATTTGACTCAGTTTTTTGTCATTGCGCTCAATGTACAAATAAACAAAAAAAAACAAGAACAAAGCAGAACAAGGTTAAGCATTAAGTGAAGTTGTAATTCTTAGATGCTTTTTTCTGTTGTTCCATTTTAAAAAAATGTATTTATTAACCATTTCATGAATATATTTATGAATAGTTCTCTTCAGCATAAACGTTTGTATAG